CACTGATGCCCAGCGATAGCCGAAGCCATTTCCAGACGGGCCCCGCGGAGACCACAGCGCTCTTGATCACGTCAAGTATACGGCGAGGGGCTGTCCATAAAATGAGCGGCCTCCTTCGGCCCCTTCGCCTCGCTTTGACGACCAGCGTGACGTCCTGATGACGGGGCCAGGAACGTGACCCCATTCCAAATTTTAAGGGCCAATATTTCTCCAAACAGTCGCGACAATAACAAAGTTCATTCATTGATTTTCATAACGAGGTTACCTTGACGCGAAGACTGTCACAGTGTAGGGGAGAGGCTCCAGGCCGCCTGCGTGATTGATAATGAAGTGATCAGAGACACACAGCGCGCGGGGTATTGCCAGGAAAAAGGCGCACGCGAGTCGCCTAGAAGAAGATTGTCTGTTCCATGGAGTATTGCCAGCGACACGTCAAGTTGGGGGATTGGGAGGCCCTGCAGTGGAGTGAGCAGAGCTCTCGGGGACGGCTGGAGTGAACGGGCTGGAGTTCCAGCAGTGCCGCACAGTGGGCCAGAAGACTGGCGGTGCGGGTCGAAATCCCAGACGCGTTTCGAGATTGACAGTCACCAATGGGACTCGAACCGAACGTGTGATCCTACCAATGGATTCCTCGTTCGGAGAACAATCCATTGGTGGGGTCACACGTTCGGTTCGAGTCCTCTTCAGCGACTCTGGAGCTCAAAACGCGTCCGGGGTTTTGCCCACCTCCACCGGTCTCCTGGCCCACTGTGCGGCCGAGCCTTGCCGCTGAAGCTCGACAACGAGGCCCGTAAGGACGTCGAAGTCCGGGCGGCCGGGGGCTGCGAACGCGGGGAAGCCCTCAGCCGCTGAAATTCGAGTTTACGGCGCCCTCCCTCGGCATGCCTCGGCGCGCTCCAGGAATCCTCGGCATCAAAAGCGGCTCTGGAAACTTGGCGGCGCAACACTTGGCCGGGTGTCAACGTGTCAACCCGCTCGTAAACTCGGGCTTGTTATGTGCACTCCACGCGCGTGCACTGTGCAGACACGTGGCAAGCGGAAAGGTCACTGAGAGCCCCCGCCAAGGTAGTAGGCAATCCGGCGCACGCCTTATCGCACAGTGGGCCAGAAGACCGGTGGAGGCGGCCAAAACTCCAGACGCGTTTTGAGCTCCAGAGTCGCTGAATGGGACTCGAACCGAACCGGTCCTCTGGCCGACTGTGTGTCAGCAGCAGCTCAACTTTCCCCGCATTTTTGTTCACTAAATTAAATGAAATTCGTCGTGATTCAGCGATATTGTTTTGCGGTGTCCTTTTTCTTCCGTGCGGACGCCAAGCGCCCCGCAAAGCGTCCCACCAAACGTCCTGCCGCGCTACGCCGCGGGGGCATCGATTGGTGCCGAGGGGAATCTGGATGGCTTGCACGACGTACGCCACTCATGACACATCAACTACACTCTGAAAAACAACAACGAAAAAAAAACTTTATGAAAAATGATGGGCACGCTGCGCATGCCAAAACAGTCTCGAAAAAAAAGAAAGAGAAAGGAAAAAGGCGTTGGAAGAAATAAGGAGCAGGAAATGGAAGCCGCTTTGTCGAAAACTCCCGCTCAAGTTTTCGTTAATTACGCGCTAGAGCGGCTCGGGCGCGAAATTATGTATGAATCTGGCGAGTTGCGTTCCAAACTGTCGAGAGGTCCCGGCAACTCGGCGAATCGAGTCAGGCGAAAATCGAGTGTACTCGGTTCGCGTCAGCGAGGAGCTCAACGAGCCGCGTGAACTGAAGAAGCGCCCCGGGCGGCGGACTGATTCCGAGGGTCGTTTTCGTCGCTCCGTCGCGCTCTCTCCCACCCACGGGGCGCCCCGCACAGGTGCGAGGGAGACAGGGCGTCGAAAACGACGCACGGAGTCTGCCGGCGAAATGAAGCGAAGAGGCGCGGTTGATTTTGGCGGCGCACCGCGGCGCACCGCGGTGTTATGCTTGTGCCTCGCAGGCCGACCGCGCCGACCGCGACACGATTGGGAATATCGAAGCGCTGCGTGTATAAGTGATGCGTCGCGTGGCGCGGCGTGGTGTGGCGGGCCGGGGCGGGGCGCGGCGGGGCGGGGTGGGGCGGGGCGACCATAATGACCTCTGTCTAGTAATTGGTGCACGCGTGCCTTGGATCGAACGCCCCACGCGAGGCTAGCGCTCTGCGAGGCTAGCCCCCTGTTCCCCAGAGTGAGGCTAGCTGGCCTTTCCCTGTGCGAGGCTAGCGCTCGCGTTCCTGGCGCGAGGCTTGACCATCCGGTAACGGTGCCCCCGCTTCACAAGTAACTGCTCGTGTATTTCCTAACGAATTTGTCCACTGTGAAACTGTGTAACAGCCACTGTTGTGTTATCGTCACTTGCGTAGCGTAGCACCGTTGACTTTGTCGTATCACTGAACCCGTTCGGTTCCGTGCCTCTGCCGGGGCAGGCGATGCAGAGGTGCGGAATCGAACCCATACCCCGCAGCACCCCGAGAAAACGCTAGAAAGTCGGATTCGAACCTGCGCCAGTACTGCAGCGGCTGCTCAGACTAGCTAAGACCGCCGACTCCCGGCGGACCGCCGAGACTGACCGAGGCGCGGTAGGCCAGCCAGCTGTCTGGGGGGTGGAGGAGGGGTGGGGGTGGGGGTGGGGGTGGGGGGCAAATCGCACCCTCCTCCATCTCGGGCAGCGGTCAGGCCGACCGCACCCCGACGCCTGCGGTCCGCGCGGGCTGAGAGAGAGAGAGAGAGAGAGAGAGAGAGAGAGACAGACAGACAGACAGACAGAGAGACAGAGAGAGAGACAGAGAGAGACAGAGAGACCGCTAACAGTGCCCGATCGCTCCGTGTTGCAGTCGCCGTGGAGGACATCCGGGAGGTGCGGTCGGGGCGCACCACCAAGGTGCACCGGGACTCCAGGATGCCGGCGGGCTACCCGGACGACTGGGCCTTCTCCATCGTGTACGGCGACGACCTCCGCACGCTGGACCTCATCGCGCACAGCTCCGAGGACGCCAGGATCTGGGTGGCCGGCCTCTGCGCGCTGCTTGGCGACCCCAACTGTGAGCATCTCATTCACTGTCAGAAATAAATTTAAAAATATTTTTTTTGTACCTGAAAGTCACAGGGTCGGGAAAAGTCGTTAAAACGCTACGCGATCGGTTTCCTTAAAGCAGTCCACCTGTCCGAACGGAATCTTTTTCCGAACCTCCAAGCCTTCCAATTTTACAGCGTGGGACTTGTTACGAGGGCACCAGGACTTCCCCCTCCCCCTCCCAGCCGCTTGCACAACAACTTTGCTCGAACGCCATCGCGTTTCGCGTCGGGACGACACAGCCCGACGGTTGTTTCAGCCGTTTTGTTTCACTCGTATCGTTTGCTCTGCGTAACAATGACACCAATGGCCGTTCCTCCACTGTCGTCTGCATTCCGGCCTCGTGCCGCCCCCCTCCCCCTCGCACAAACGCCGCCCCGCACAGTGGGCCAGAAGACCGGTGGAGGCGGCCAAAACTCCAGACGCGTTTTGAGCTCCAGAGTCGCTAAATGGGGCTCGAACCGAACGTGTGACCCCACCAATGGATTGCTCTCCGAACGAGGGATCCATTGGTGGGGTCACACGTTCGGTTCGAGGCCTGTTTAGCGACTCTGGAGCTCAAAACGCGTCTAGAGTTTTGGCCGCCTCCACCGGTCTTCTGGCCCACTGTGCGCCTCTCAGGCCCGCTTCACGTTTCGCGCCAATTTCTCGGCCTGCTCAAGCAAAGGGTAATTAGGCACGCGGAGTGCCGCGCGAGCAATCGGCAAAAAGGGGGAGGGGGTCGAATAAAGTGAATCGCCGAGTCACCGTTGCGAGGCGAACCATCCGGCATGAGGAACCCTATAAAAACACCCCCTAAAAACAACCCCAAAAATACCCCTAAAAACCACGCCCCCAAAATAACCCCCCAAAACACCCCCTGAAAACAACCCCAAAAGTGCCCCTAAAACACCACCAAACACCCTCCAAAGAATAAAATAAAATCATCGAAAAATTTTTTTCCACAGCTATTTTTTGACACAGACCGTGGGTATTTGATGCTGTACCGTCAGTCAAACTTGCTCCCGCTGCTCTCTAGTCCTGACGGCTCCTCACTGGACGATCCGGCGGCCCCATTTTTAGCGAATCGCGCACCGTGTTTGCACGGCTCCCAATTGGCCGTGCACGGACGGGCCGACAGACAGACAGGCTGACAGACAGGCTGACAGACAGGGGAGGATTGGCTGAAAAGGGCGTGTTTGATGTCGTCGCCGAGCTCACGGGTCAGTGAAGCTGCCTCGCTGTCAGATCGGCACAGGGCATTATGCGACCTGCATTTCTAAGGAGACATGCGCAGACAGATAGACAGACAGACAGATAGACAGACAGACAGACAGACCGTGGCCTCAATTTGAAAAGTGCGCCCTTTCTTCCCTTCTTGATTTTGAGAAATGGTGGAGGCGTTTTGTGACCGGGGGAGTAAAGGCAAGCTCGTCAATCAGACGGACAGACAGACAGACAGACAGACAGACAGGCAGACGGACAGCAACGTTAGTGGAAAAGTGACAGAGCGAAAAGGGGAGAAAGAAACACTCTGCTCCGGCAAGAACGCAGGACGGCGTCTTGTCAAATCGCCTGGTCAACGGGCAAAAGTGGGTCTGTGCCAAATATTGACCCTTTCAGCTTGGCTCCCTCCCCTCGCACAGCACACATCGGGACACAATCCCCCCCTCTCCCAATTTCCCCCTCCCCTCACCCGCCTTCGCGGGGACCCGATTAAGTCGTCTTTGTCTCAAGATGTTTAATTTGCGGCGCTCTCTCTGTGTTTTTTTTCGGGCCAGCAGCAGCGGGGGGCGGTCTGCGAGAACAGTGGTTGTCCAACGCCTTCCACAGGGAGGCGGCGCGGTGCGGGGGCCGGCTGGGGGCGGACTCGGCCGCCAAGCTGGCCGCGCGGCTCATGACGGCCGGCAAGGCCGCCCCCAGCGAGCCGCCCCCGCCCGGCCCGCCCCCGCACCGCGGCAGAGTCACCCCGGCGCTGGAGGCGGCGCAGGAGCGGATAGCCCAGAAACTGGTGGTGAGCAGCTTTGCCAGAAGACCGGCGGAGGCGGCCGAAACTCTAGACGCGTTTCGAGCTCCAGAGTCGCCAAGTACGACTGGAACCGAACGTGTGACCCCACAATGGATTCCTCGTTCGAAGAACAATCCATTGGTGGGGTCACACGTTCGGTTCGAGTCCCATTTAGCGACTCTGGAGCTCAAAACGCGTCTAGAGTTTTGTCCGCCTCCACCGTTCAGCCGTCAGCCCACTGTGCGGCGGAGGCGGCCGAAACTCTAGACGCGTTTTGTTGCAGGAGAACGGCCGGCGGACTTCTATCGAGAGTGCCGAGTTCATAGAGACCTACAAGCGGGTTGTGACGAGACCGGAAGTTTATTTTCTAATGCTCAGGTTGGTGCCGACATTTAACAGAGTGGTGCCTGTTTACAGTGTGGCCCGACACCGCGCGGGGTATTCTCACCAATCTGCCGTTCCGGTCGTCCCGGCCGGCTCGGCTTTCGCTCGCACCCTTCCGCCTGTCGTCCGGTTTTTGTTTTTTTACCCGTTGCGTGAAGAGCCCCGTTTAATTAAGCTAAGTTGCCCCGGCAGGGCCCCGCCAGGGCAGGCATGCAGCCCGTGCCGGCCGTCCCCAGGGACCGGCGGCCGCCCCGCCGAGGCTGGCAGCCAGCACGCCGCGGCACGCGCACCCACCGCATTAAAACGTCTCCAAATAATAAACAGTTCCCGTCTCAATTTCGAATCGAGTGAAGCAAGGCGAGCCACTCTGCGCGCAAATATCCCACGCCCCGCCCCTCTGGCGTGCTAAACCGGCCGGAAAAGCGGTGGGGTGAGTCTCTTTATTGCACTCACACACTGTATCCTTTTTCACTCGCAGGTTCTCGCATAAAGAGTACATGACTATAGAGGATCTTAAAGCGTTTTTGGAGACTGAACAAGGGGTAAGTTACAGCCGACGAGAAAAAAAACGGCCCTCGTTTATTTTTTAACGTGGGTCATTTTTTTTCTCAACTGTTTTTGTGTTGGCAGGACCGAGCGGTGGAGCTAGCCGAGTGCGAGGAGATAATAAAACGGTGCGAGCCGAGCCCGGAAGCGCGTGAACAGGGTGTTATATTAGTGGACGGTAAGCGTCACACCGAGCGCTGCTTACAGAGAACCGCTTGGCGTCTAGTTTCCGGTTTCGCGTCGTGCAAACAATTTTTTCTCAACGTTAAAAAACATTCAACACACGGCAAAAGTACCACCTGGGATTCCCAGGCGGTGCCTGGAATATAGGCCCTTTTCCCCATGATGCGCCTGGGAATCCCAGGCGGTACTTTTGCCGTGCAGTGAGTAAAGAGTTTCCCTTTTCCCCAGGCTTTTCCAGCTTTCTCGAGTCAGACGAATGCCTGATCGCGCCGGCCCCGGACAAGACGCCGGCGCAGCTCAACATGCCCCTGAGCCACTACTACATCAGCGGCGCGCACGACGCCTACGTCCCGGACGACCCCGCCGCCAACACGGCCTCCATGGACGCCATCGTGCGCGCCCTGGCGCAGCCCTGCAGATACGTCAAAAGTACGCGCGGCGCAGGCGGCCGAAATCTCGGACGCGTTTTGGGCTCCAGAGTCGCTAAATGGGATTCGAACCGAACGTGTGACCCCACCAATGGATTCCTCGTTCGGAGAGCTATCCATAGGTGGGGTCACACGGTCGGTTCGAGTCCCATTTAGCGACTCTGGAGCTCAAAACGCGCCTGCGGCGTATCGACGTGACTTGACGGACTTGCTGGCCTTGCAGTGGATGTGCACGACGGCGTGGCGGGCCCCGTGGTCTGCAGGAACCCCACGTGCGCGTCCAGGCTGCCCGCCAGCGACGTGCTCAGGCTCATCAGGGAGCTCGCCTTCGTCGTCAGCCAGTGAGTAGCACTTCTGAAAAGAAAACATTGAAAAAACGACCAAAAATTAGTTGTGGTTACACTGACCGTAAGGCACTTTTTAAACCCATTTTACCTTTAAGTACCACGGAAATAAATTCCGTTTAACCTTTTTGCCTGAATGAAACACACGACGGTACCAGAGGATCGATCAGTGGGGTCATGAGTTTGATTCGGGTCCCATTGAGGGAGCCGAGGGCTGCCCGCAGCAGTGGTGGCGGAGCAATCAGGTCCTCTGGCCGCCCGCCACCACACTGTGGCACTGTGGCGGCAGGATCAAGGAAATTGCGTCCCTAACGAAGTGGGCGAATCAGAAAAAAAGAAGCGGGAGTAATCGCGCCCCGGAGACCGAGACCCTCCCTCCATCTCACTCCCTCTCCCAGGTGCCCACTGTCCTTCATCCCTCTCTTTCTCTCTCTCTCCCCCAGGTGCCCGCTGCTGCTGCATCTGTCAGTCCGCTGCTCGGTCCCCCAGCAGCGGTCCCTGGCGACGCTCCTCCGCACGGAGCTCGGCGAGAAGCTGGTCCTCCCGCAGGAGGCCAAGGACCCCGCGCAGCTGGAGGTGCAGTCCATCCTGGGGAAGATCCTGCTGGTGGTGAGCCTCTCCGTGCCTCCCCTTTCCCAGCGCGTTTCGAGCTCCAGAGTCGCTGAATGGGACTCGAAACCGAACGTGTGACCCCACCAGCGGATTGCTCTCCGAACGAGGAATCCATTGGTGGGGCCACACGTTCGGTTCGAGTCCTGCTTCGCGACTCTGGAGCTCGAAACGCGTCTAGAGTTTTGTCCTCCTCCGCCTGCCCGCTGTGGAGCGCCCGTCGGGTAGACCCCACGCCCGCACCGCTGCTCGCCTGGCTGCCTACCCTCGACTTCGCGGGCGCTCCGCAGTGGACGGGACTGGGCGGACTGATAAGCGGACCGGCGGACGCCGTCCGGGCGGCCAGACGCAGTGCAAGTGCAGATAGCCAGGCCGCTGATATCGACACGAGCAGACACGGACAGACAGACAGACGGACAGACAGACAGACAGACAGGTAGACGGGCGCCCCGCTGGGCCTGCATGGTGCCGCTGTGGCCCGCTCGCCGTGCCATGATTCATACTCCACACGTTGTCCACTCCTTCCTCCCACACCCTTGCTGCCCCTGGCCTCTGGCTCGCCCTCCGGATAGGACGGGAGGACCTCCCGCAGGAAACCCTTGTCCTTATCGTCACTGCACGATTGGGCAGACCGGGCCGGCCAGAGGGCACTGGATTTACGAGTTCCTGCCACTCTGCCCCTTCTGTCCCTTCTCTCTCTCTCTCGCACCTCCGCGGGCCGCCCCACGGGTGCGAGAGAGACAGAGCGACGAAAAGCACGATCCTCGTGCTGCGACTCCCTTTCCCCATACTTTGCATCCCCACCAGCACGTTTTCTCTTCGTCCTGCTTCTCTCTCTCTCTCTCTCTCTCTCTCTCTCTCTCTCTCTCTCTCTCTCTCTCTCTCTCTCTTTCTCTCCCTCTCCCACTCCACTTCCCTCCTTGTCCCAGGAAACATGAGCCCACTCCTCGGCGGTAAATTGGCATAGCCGCAGACCGATTCCGGACATCGCTTTCGTCCGTCTGTCCCTCTCGTACTCGCGGTCCGTTGCGTGTGGGAGCGAGAGAGACAGAGCGAGAGCGACGGAGTATGCGGAATCAGTTCGCCGAGTGACCGCAGCCCCGTCGTTTCTCGCCACGGCGTTGTCGGGGAAAGTACTGCCAAAAAGAGTGGGCTACTGTACACCAAATGCACATAGTTTTCTCTTTTTTTTAAAAAAAAATTGTCGTTTTGGGAAGTTTGTGTCGTGCACTGCAGTGACTGCAGCAGCGCCTTCTCGAGTGCCCCGTCGTCCCCCACTTCGGTATTCGCGGGACAAGGACTCCAAGGACGCCCGACACGGGGAGCGGAGATGGACCCCGTCCAGAACGTGGAGCTGCTCCTTGACTCTCTCTCTCTCTCTCTCTCTCTCTCTCTCTCTCTCCTCTCTCTCTCTGCTTGACCTTCATTTCTTCCCCTCCTTTCCTTTGTGTGTTTGGCGCGTCGTCTGCTCCAGTCTGCTCCAGTCCACGGCAACAAAGCTCCGGACAGCAAGTCAAAGCGGGAGTCTTTTGTGGCGCTGCGGTAAACCAGCGAAATTTTCACGGAAAATTTAACGGCTCTTGTGATTTTCGCAGGGCAAGCGGCTGCCCAGCGCGTGCCACGAGGACGTGGGCTCGGTGCAGGACGAGGAGGACGTCCAGGGCGCGGGCAGTGGCGTGGTGGTGCGCGAGCTGTCGGACCTCTTCGCACTGGACCCGCGCTCGTGCCACGCCGTGGACGCGGCGGCGGGCCACGCGCCGGGACGCCTCTGCTCGCTGTCCGACTCGCTGGCCTCCAAGATGGCGCGCCTCCGGCCCGAGGACATGGTGGCCCACAGCCGGCACAGCCTCACCAGGGTGTACCCCAACCACGAGCGGACCGGCGCCGCCAACTTCAACCCGCAGGACGCCTGGAACGCCGGCTGCCAGATAGGTAGACAAACCCGCCAACCCGCCTGGGTGTATGTCGTTTGTCCGACCTTCTTTGGTCCGACCTGTCCAAATTTCACTTGCCCGTGCATCGGCTGAAAACTTTGTCCGCCCTCCGTTTTGTCCGACCCACTTACACCGCCACGCGGTCAGGCTGCAGCTAGAGAGCAACTCGGCGGCGCTCATTGATCTAAACCCCGCGGCTCACTCTCTATGTCAATCAACGGATGCAGGACAATCCGAAGACATTTTAACACAAAATGAATTCAGAGTAACAGAAGTAAAATCAACACTATAAAGAAAATTTCAGCGAAAGAGGGCACCCCGGCGACCGGCCCTCTCCCCGCTGGCTTGGTGAGCCAGCTTTCCCCCATCTCATCACAGGAGCAACCTCAGGTTAAACCGCAGTGGCCCCGTCATTGGTCACGTCATCTGTGATGTGGAGAGTCCCTCATAGTAGGCCAGGCTCCCACCTTTCCCATAGTCGGGTTTCGTTCCGGCCCCCTTCCCACTCAGGGGCCATGCTACTGGTACTCAGGAGTCTGCGTCACCCTGCCAGCAGCGGAACACTGGGCTTGAGAGGCACACTGCACGCCGCCCGATTTTGTATACTTGAACCGCCTTCTTGCGATGCAAGCTTGGTCAAAATATTCTGTGCGTTGATGGGTATCGAACCCCGGACCCCGCAGTCGGGACCCGACGCCTCTGCGCTCTCGGCCACCACGGCCCATGGGTGACGATGTGCGAAGGGGAGTATTTGAAGCCGCTGGTCCGAACCGTGTAGTCAGACAAAAAGAGCGGGAAGCTAGTATTCGATCGCTCGATCCGAGTATGGGATTCAGAGATCTCAACACCTTCGGCCACCGTGGCTCGCCGGGTAAGCCGAGTGGCGCAGCGGGCCCAAACCGCACCGGGAAAGCCACTCCTAAAATGTAAAGGATTGCAGGGAGTCGAACCCCAGCCCCTGTGGTTGCGGGTCAACGCCTTTGCGCGCACAGCCGCCATTGTTTCAGAAAAGTCTGTCGTAAGTCCCACTACTGGCTTCACACTGTAGCATCCCGAGGAAACGCAGACTCCTGAGTACCAGTAGCATGGCCCCTGAGTGGGAAGGGGGCCGGGAACGAAACCCGACTACTGGGAAAGGTGGCAGCCTGGCCTACTATGAGAGGACTCCTCCACATCACAGATGACGTGACCAATGACGGGGCCACTGCGGTTTAACTCTGAGGTTGCTCCTGTGATGAGATGGGGGAACCACTGGCTCACCAAGCCAGCGGGGAAGAGGGCCGGTTCGCCGGGGTGCCCTCTTTCGCTGAAATTTTCTTTATATTGTTCATTTTACTTCTGTTAATCCGAATACATTTTGTGTTAAAATGTCTTTGGATTGTCCTGCACATTTTTTCTACTCCTATCTTTTTTACCTACACGCTCTCTCTCTCTCTCTCTACTCGCAGTGGCGGTGAACCTGCAGACGCCGGGCCAGCACATGGACGTGTACGAGGGCCGGTTCCGCACCAACGGCGGCACGGGGCTGGCCCCCAAGCCGTCCCTGATGTGTGACGGCCTGCCCTTCCCCGCGCCGGACCCGCGCTCGGGGCTGCCCGGCACCACGCCGCTCATGCTCCGCGTGACCGTCATCTCGGGGCAGAACCTGCCGCGGCCGAGGGGCTGCGACGCGCGCGGCACGGCCATCGACCCCTACGTGGCCGTGCAGGTGTTCGGCATCCAGGCGGACAACAACGGTGCGTCCCGGCCGAAAGACGCGTGCAGAGCTCCAGAGTCGCTAAATGGGACTCGAACCGAGCGTGTGACCCCACCAATGGATTGCTCTCCGAACGAGGAATCCATTGGTGGGGTCACACGTTCGGTTCGAGCCCCATGTAGCGACTCTGGAGCTCAAAACGCGTCCGGGGTTTTGACCGCCTCCACCGCTCTTCTAGCCCACGGTGCGCCTGCCTACACTGTTCTTGACAACCCCCGTGGCGTTACAGAGAAGAAGACGCGCACCGTGTCCAACGAGGGCGACTCCCCCGTCTTCGAGGAGACCTTCGAGATGACCATCTTCCTGCCCGAGCTGGCGCTGCTGCGCTTCGTGGTGCTGGACGACGAGTACATCGGCGACCCCTTCATCGGCCAGTTCACGCTGCCCGTCAACAGCCTGAGCCGCGGCTACCGCGTCGTGCGCCTGCTCAACGCCTCGGGGGAGCCCCTGGACGCCGCCTGCCTTTTCGTCTACATCGAGATGTGGCCGCGCCGCGGGGTAGGCTCGCAGTCTCTCTCTCTCTCTCTCTCTCTCTCTCTCTCTCTCTCTCTCTCTCTCTCTCTCTCTCTCTCTCTCTCTCTCTCTCTCTCTCTCTCTCTCTCTCTCTCTGTGTCTCTCTTTCTCACACACACATTCATCGCGAGACACTCGCGGCGAGAGATGTGAATAGGACCCATAATTTCGTTGTCGTAGGCAAATTTCCTGGTGTGTATGTGTGAGTGATTGAGTGATTGAGCGTGTTTGTGCGTCTGTGTGTGTGTGTGTGTGTGTGTGTGTGTGCGCGCGCGTGTGTCCTCCCTGTTTGCCATTCTGCTGCCTGGCGGGCCGCCTTGGCGTCGCGTCTAGACGAACTGGATGAATTAAATTACCGGCCCCTCTTTACCGGCACCTCACTGTCAATCACCCTCCTCCCCCCCCCCTCTCCTCGCGCTCGCGAAACAACTCGGCGGAATCTAATAACCGGGCCGCGTGGCTCGGGGAATGCGGGCCATCCCCCTTGCCCCCTCCCCCCTCCCCTTCCCCCCAGCCCATTTGCGTCCGAAACTCTGGGAGAAAAAAAAAGTCTATGGGTGATTTGATGTATTTGTTGTTGATATCCTCCCTTCTTTTTTCGTTCCTTCTTTCGCAGAGGCAGAACAGCAAAAAGCGGTACAAAAAGGAGAAGCTCGACTTGCGGACGGTCGGCATCAGCAGCGTGGACGACCTAATCAAGGTGAGGCTTCCCGTCTTTATCTTCTCTCTCTCTCCCTCCCGCTTTATTCCCAAAGAAAGAAAAGAAAGAAACGCGAAAAAAAAGAGGAGGAGCGACTCAACCGAGCGGCGGACCATCTTTCGCCGCGGCGGTCGTTTTATTCTCTTCCCTCTCGGTAAGCAGAGCTGATTGATTGGTGTGGATGTCGCGGTGGATCAATAAGAAAGACGGCGAGAATAAAGGCGCTGTCGCTCTCTCTCTCTCTCTCTCTCTCTCTCTCTCTCTCTCTCTCTCTCTCTCTCTCTCTCTCTCTCTCTCTCTCTCTCTCTCCTTCACCTCACTTCTTTTCTCTGCCACTCCGTCAGTCTATCAGTCAGTCAGTCAGTCAGTCAGTCAGGCATTCAGTCAGTCAGTCAGCCTGTCAGTCAGTCACAGTGAGTCATGCTCGTTGCCGCACTTGTCGTACTTGGCGCACTTGTACTTGACGCCCTTGTTTGCCTTGCAGAGCAACGAGCGCGCGCTGCGGTCGCTGGTGGAGCTGCGCTCGGAGACGGACCTGGCCATGACGGCGCTGCGCTGCGAGTGCGGCGTGTCGGACGGCGCCACCATGCAGCACTGCCTGCGCGTCATCATGAACCGCATCCAGCGCAACCGCAGCGTCAAGAAGGCCTACATCCAGGAGGTGGACGGCGTGAGTACAGTGCACTGGGCAAACGCGTTTTGAGCTGCAGGGTCGCTCAACAGGACTCGAACATACCGTGTGACCCCACCAATGGATTCCTCGTTCGGAGAGCAATCCATTGGTGGGGTCACACGTTCGGCTCGAGTCCTTCCTAGCGATTCTAGAGCTCAAAGCGCGTCCGGGACTTTGACCGCCTGCACCGGTCTTCTGGCAAAGTGCTCTGCCCGCAGTCGCCGATGCTGCGCCTGGAGGCGGACACCCTGAGCGAGAACATGACGCGCTGCCTGTGCGTGCTGGACCGCGCCTGCGAGCAGCTGGCCTCGGTGCGGCGCCTGCACGACTCCGTGACGGCCCCCGTGCACGACCTGTGCGTCCAGCTGGAGGACAAGGCCAGGAACTTCCCCACGCTGGCGCTCGGCCTGGGCCTCAAGGGCGCCAAGTTCACCAAGGCCTCGGACAACTTGGCGTGGAACGTGCGGGTGATCCGCGGCGCGCTGCGGCAGCTGGGGGACGTGAAGGAGGAGGCGGAGCGGGGCCTCTGGGTGGTGAGTGGATGCTCGCCGAGCGACGCCGAGCGACGCGTACCGTACTCCCAGCTACTCGCTGTCTTACGCCGTTCACCTGTTGCAGATTCGTCGCTCGGCCAAGGCCATCGCCCGCCTGGCCGGCCACGGGCACGGCGCGCACGGCCAGCGCACGGCCGAGTCCACGCCACTGTCGCGCACCAGCTCCGCCAGCGGGCCGCGCCACCAGCACCACGCCGGCCCGCCCGCCAGCGGCTCCGAGCCAGACAGCCTGTCCAGGGAGCTGGGGGCCTCCTCCGTCGCCTTCGGCAGGCTGTCCCCGCAGTCCGGCTCCTCGGCGTCCAGGTCGCCGGCCGCCTCGCCCTGCGGCACCGCGTCGGGCGGCGTCTCCCCCACCATCAGCGACACGAGGGGCGTGTCACCGCGACCGCCCGTCCGCGGCATCCTCAAGCAGCAGCAGTCGGCGCCGCAGCCCTGCGACCAGCCCGCATGACCCCGACACCTGGGGCTGTACGCACCCAGCCCCAGCACCCCGGCCGCGCACGCCAACGCCCACGCCAACGTCCACGCCAACGTCCACGCCAACGTCCACGCCAACGTCCACGCCAACGTCCACGCCAACGTCCACGCCAACGTCCACGGCAGCACCAACGCGCACGGCCCGGGCAGGGAGACGGCCCTCTAGCGCCGCCACCTCCAGCACCATTCCCAGAGTCGTTTTCGTTGCTCTGTCTCGCCCCACGAGTGAGTGAGAGAGAAAGGGCGACGAAAATGGCTCTCGGTATCAGTGTACAGTGCCTGCAACCAGGCGGCGGACTTCACCGTCGTGACTCCGCGCGACGGAGACTCTCTGCCAGCAGTGTGGGTGACCGGACGGCTGTGGAAAGACAGGGCGGCTCCGCCCGCGTCCATACCCCACGCCCCAGCGTCACCCGCGGCCCAGCGCGCGGGGTATTGCCAGCCCGTGGAGACACTCAGGACGTAGCAAAATACGTCCGGTTGGCCAAAGGATGTTTTTTTTAACTCTCAAAGAAAAACTTCACTTTTTCCAGTGATGGGTCAGTGGCGAGGAGCACCTCCATCTCCCACACGGGACTCTAGAAGCAGCGTCTCCGTGACACCTGCACTCTAAAACCTCCCCTCGCTTTTGGCGGGAACGGACAAGTCGGCATTCCACCCTTGAGCGCGTCCAAAGTTCAGTTAGATACAAATAATTTTATCAGAAGGAGCCCTTGTTTTGTAAAGTATCTAAAAAGTTTCAAGTACAACTCCTCTTTGACACATGTAGTATCGCTAACAGCTTTTCTAGCGGTTCTCAACCACTTCCGGCTCGCGACCCCAAAAACATTTTAATTCGAGTGTTCCTATCATTGCCTTGCTTCGTTTGTTGGGAAACTGACATTTTATTTTTTTAATTGTGAAAGTTTCAAAACAGATCATAACTTGAGAGGGGGTCTGTTTCCCACCCAGATTGGGTCTCTATTTAATGTTGTTACTTTTAATGTGTCTGACTCGCTTGTTAGAGGTAAATATGAATTCTTATTCTTATGCGATAGCCTTTCGAGATGGTAACTTAAATTGAGCTCAACTGTTGCCTCTCTCTATGAAGAGAAATTGGTGATTTTACATGTGATAGCAGAATGTGCACCAATTCTTGTTCCGTTTTTTCTCACTGTGTCCTTTTGTGAGTGACGTGGCTCTAAGTCCTTATGCTTTTAAAGTTTATTACTTACATGAAATTTATCAAGAAATGTACAAGTTAGATAAATACTTAATGAATTCATGTTGGCTTGTCAGATTCTGTAGATCAAATTTGGGTCTTACTAAACAAAACAAAAAAACACACCTGATTATGCTGTAGGGAATGATCTAGTATAGTTTAGACAGTAGAGCAGAAGCTCGTTGATGGGGACAGCTGTGATTGCGAGCATCATGTTAAAAACTGTCACTTTGAAGATCAGGCTTGCGTATCCTGGTTGCCAGTAAAACATTTTGGTTTAGCAAATTCACTTCTAGTGGTGTAATAATGATTGGTCTAGTCAAGGTCTATTTTGACCCTTAATGTAAATATTGCCAACCTCCACTATGAGTAACAAACTGGGACAGGTCACTTTGTAGTGCGTTCATGTGTGTTCTGTTAGGGTTTGAAGTGGGGTAACTTGATGTTAGTTTGCTGCAGAAGTAGTGTTTTGCCTTGGCTTTCATAGCCAACACTGTAATTCTGATAGGCAGTAATCAAAGGCATGCTCCTTTCTTCAAGTTCTAAGTTTACAGAAAATGCAACAGAGTGAGTATTTTTTTGCCGGGAAAATGGTGAGTGGTTCTGACTTGACATGTTTCAACTGGACTGTATTGAACAGCGCGTCAAATTGGTCTCACTTCAGCATTGATCACAGACGACCAATTCTACATTTGCACATTCGAAACAAATATTTATTTATTTAAAATCCGTGATAAATAAAAATATTATTATTTAATTTTTCGCACTGTTATTTCTACAATGTTTATTTTTAGTAAACAATGATTAGAGAGAGCTAAATATTTCCTCTAATGTACAGTGTAAAAGCCAAAATGGTTAGATGATATTATTCTTCTTTCCCTTTATTTTATTGAGACATTTATCTTTCTAGTCGAACAAACACTATGGGTTACCTTGTGACAATATGTCAAATTATTTTGTGCTCCTATGTACATATTTTCTTTTTTTGTGGTCTTGCATGCCTAAGACAAGTTCAGATACTTTAAATGTTGTTACTCAATCCTTAGATGTCTAAATTATGAGGTAAAGACGAGAGAGCCATGTGATGTGCCATGCTGTTTAACTCAGAGCGCTGCCAGAGACACTAATAGTGCCAAACTGTTAATTAGACTTTTCAAATTTCTCCTAAAAGATTGACGGTGCGTCCACTAGACTCTTGATTCGTCCTGTTGAGCATGAATATATTTATATATACGCTTAAACAAAGGCCTACCTGTGCGCAAGTGTATGTATGCCAGAAGACCAATAACCTTAATCAAAATCTAAAATTTTATTCACTGTACAGAGCAGATTGGCTAAAACGCAGCAAACCTATGTCGAAAGGTCTCATCACGATTAATGTTTCACTTCTCTCTAATAACTACTCATCCTGTTATTTAATGCAAAGCAAATCCATCGACTCTTTTTTTTTGTTTCCTGGTGTAATTGAGATTTTATTTCCAAAGAATAAACGTTTAATTTATTACTTGTCGTTTTTCACTACTAATTGCCTTGGGGAACGCGAGGGAGGGCGCGGGGTATGTCCCATCGCGGTGCCGGCCGGTGAATACTCCACGCTCGGGCTTCCCAAAACCGCCGCGAGGGGGCGCAGGGGACGCGGGGCCGGGCGCGGTGGCTGATACAAGATGATGCAGGGCCGGCAGGGCGAGCTCTAGGAACCCCGCTCGCCGTTTCTCTGGTCGCCCACCGAATTCCAAAGTTTGGGCCCTGCAGTGGCGTGCCTGGGCACAGTGGCAACGAAATGAGTCCTCTGTCGTGTCGAGTCCCTCGCGCGCCCCGCCCCGCCACGCCCCGCCCCGCCCCGCCACGCCCCGCCACGCCCCGCCACGCCCTCGCCCGGAGGGCCAACCCGCAGGCCGAAAGCATGAAAATGCTTAAGAGGAATGGAAGCTCTCGCTTGTTATGGTGAGTCGCCTTGTGAATTATTCAATCCGGGCGACATGTGTGTGTGAGAGAGAAAGCGGAAAAGAGAGAGGAAGCTGTAAAGAAAGGGCGCGTGTGCCGGGGCGTCCGGGGCGTCCGGGGCGCGGGGGCCTCGCCTACACGTGAATGTCCAGCGGGGCGGCGTACAGTGGGCCAGAAGACCGGTGGAGGCGGCCAAAACTCCAGACGCGTTTTGAGCTCCAGAGTCGCTAAATAGGACACGAACCGAACGTGTGACCCCATCAATGGATTGCTCACCGAACGAGGAATCCATTGGTGGGGTCACACGTTCGATTCGAGGCCTGTTAAGCTACTCTAGAGCTCAAAACGCGTTTTGAGTTTTGGCCGCCTCCACCGGTCTTCTGGCCCACTGTGCGTCCAGCGGGTCCAGCGGGCCGCCGGAAGGACGCCTTGCCTCGCCTTGCCTCGACGCGCCTCGCAGCGCCGCTGCAGGCTTGCCCCTGGCTTGCCCATTTCCGCCCGGTCTGTCCCCGCAGACACCCAGCTCCCCCTTCCCCCACCCCCTGTCTGTCACTTTCCCCCGCGTGGCGTGCGGTGCCGTGTCGCCCCGTCGAACAGAGGGGGCGGTGTGACTTTGCGAAATTGCTTGTTTTTTCGGGGGGCCTGGGTATCGTCAACGGCCGCGCGGCCTGGCAGCGCCGCCAGTTTATAACCCGGTTGTTTTTTTTCGCCCCGGCCTGGTTTCTACTTTGGACGGCACTACTACTCTCTTCTGGGGCCGTGCCTGCGTTTGTGTGAGTGAGTGCGTACGCGTAGTGTTTGTGTAGAGCGCCGTGAGGGTAGGCCGCGCGAAGTCACGTGTGTTGACCGGGCTGCCTACCCTCTCCACTGCAGGCGTTTCTCAGAGTGCGGACCAGTGGAGGCGGTCAGAGTCCCGGACGCGTTTTGAGCTCCAGAGTCGTTAAGCAGGGCTCGAACCAAACGTGTGACCACACCAATGGATTCCTTGTTCGGAGAGCAATCCATTGGTGGGGTCACACGTTCGGTTCGAGTCCTTTTCAGCGACTCTGGAGCTCAAAACGCGTCGAGAATTTCGGCCGCCTCCACCGGTCTTCTGGCCCACTGTGCGCCCGGACGCCTTTGGCCGACTGTACCATTCACGTCACATTATCAGCAACTGAATGTGGAGCCACCTGGCCGATTAGCCCGAGACACGGCCTGTCTCCTTTCCCCTTGTAGGACAGCAATTTTGCCGCCCGGCAGGCCTCCTTACGCAAGGGCTGTTTGAACAGCCCGAAAGGTCGCCCCCAATAAAACGCGACCCCCTCCACTGCGAAAGAGGAATAAAAAGAGAAAGTGCCCCGCGGGCTGGAACGGAATCACTCGGTTTTTAATGCCCTTCGCCATTTATTTCGTTTGTTTCCCCCTAATGACGTCGCTTGGGGGAGAAAAGGGGGGGGGGCAATCAGCCAATGAAAGAATAACGGAATAATCTGAATCGCCTAACAATGGTTGTGTGGGGAGCGGAGGGGGGCTAGACCGACAGGTTGTAGCAGCTGCGTATCTCAGCATGCCTCCGTCGACATCTGAGGCCCTTGTGGACCAGCCGGCCCAGGGCGCCGCCCCGCCCCGCCCCGCTCCGCACGCTGTCGTGTCGTTGCGATCCTTTCCCTGTCAAAGCAGCGGGCCGTGGGAACCCCAGGGACTCAGGGACCGCCCCCATGACCGCCGCCATGTCCTGCGTGCTGCCGGTCCTGCACACTGAGGGTCGTCGCACTGTCTCTCTCGCATCGCAACGGCACGCCCCGTGAGTGCGCGAGAGACAGAGCGACGACTCCCAGTGTGCTGCCTCCGCACGGCTTATTGCCGAGGTTCCCCGGGCCGCCCTGGCCGGCCGATTTTCGGGCTCCTCATCGCGTCGTGATCGGCGTTACTCTTTAAAAGAGTAAGGATGTGGAGGGCGATGTAGGCGGGGCCAGGCGGGGCCGGGCGGGGCGGAGGGCAAAATGAAGTTATCGGACAAGCCTGTTGTGCGTCAGGGCTGTGCTTGGCCCGTCCCCGCCCCTCCGGTCCCCTCCCCGGAGGGCCTGTTGATCTTGTCAGGAGGAAAAGAAGGCTTAGGGCTCAGGCTCGGTCCTTGGTGGCCACTGCGCTGGCTGCGCTGGACTAGGGCTTGCCCCAAACCATTTGTCTGGCAGTGGCGACGCGGCAGCCAGAGGCAGCCAGAGGCTAGCCAGAGGCAGCCAGAGAGGCAGCTTGAGAGGCAGCCAGAGAGGCAGCCAGAGAGGCAGCCAGAGAGGCAGCCAGAGGCAGTGCTCCGGTTCGATGAGCCAAACTGATGGACACCCGCCTTATCCTGACGTGTGCTCGTGGACTCGAGCTGGGAGTGGAGCGAGTGCCACGGCCAAGCCGGCTCCGGGTTCGAGGTTCGAGTCCCATTTCGACGTGCTTTTCGGTCTCGTCAACGTGGGCCGATTATTCGGCTGGAGCTGGTGAGTGTTTTCGTTCCATTACCATGGAAACGGCGGTCCGAAGCGTCCCGCCGAGCGGCCGAGCGTGGCATGGCCCGCCATGGGCGCTCCGTGGACTGCCATGGGCGGCGCCTCTTCTTGCTGAGAGTCTGTCTCTCTCGCACGCACGGCGCGTCCCGCACAGGTGCGAGAGAGACGGAGGCTGCGGGCAATGGCCGCTTTTTGCCCAGCACTGTCCATCAGGCTGGGCCGGCCCCCTCCTTTGCCATGTCCGAGGATCAAGTCACTACAACAGAGCTTTCCTGGACAACAGAGCCTTCCTGGAACGCGCTCCTGCAGGGCAGCGAACTGTGTAATCGTCAGCAGTCTTCCTGGAATCGCTGGAACCGCTCTACGGGCGTGTGCCCCGGTCAGGCCTTATGGCTCGCTCATGTTCAGCCCGACCTGCTCGCTTACGAGGAACAGCGTGGGGAGTTTGCTTCCAACAACCCTTTTGAAAGTCCCGCACACAACATCAAGCCTTCTTGAATAGGGGGAATTTAATTAGAAAAAAAAAAAACTCATCAATTTTTCTTTGATCCACTGACTTTTTTCGTAAGTGTGACTCCAGCAGGTTCCAGGAACGCTCCCCTTTCGACGGCACCCCTCAGGGGAGCAACTTAATAACATGATTATGCGGCGGTATACAAATTTTAGAAAAGTAAATCAAGCGCCATTTGCCGCGCTCTTGGTTGTGAAATTACTCCACCATTACCCGAGCGCGTCGCAAAGAAAAAGAAGAGAAAACAACAACATTTACACATATTTTGTTGTGCTGGAATTTTTTTCCCCGGGCGGCCGCAGACTGAGGCGGGAGAAAGCGAAAGTAACTCCCTCCCCCGCGGCCGGCCAGGTCAGGTCAGGAAAGCCCCACCTGGCGGGGCCCGCCCGGGGCCCGTCCGGGCCGCCCCCAAAGAGAGTCTCTCTTTGAGCGCCGAGCGCCGCGGCGCGCGGCCCGTCGGCACTGCCTCCCGGCCCGCCGGCCCGCGGGCCCAGCCAGTGGGTTGCCAGATTTTGAATCATTTTATGAATTATGGAAGACGAACGGAAGCGCGCAGCGGTCTGCCTAGGCCCCCCACAAGGCCGACTGCCCCAAGCCCAAGGCCGCCCTGTTGTTGCCGACACAGTGCAGCGGCGGCCCGGCTGCACGCGTCCGCGCGAGGCTGGCCTCGAGGCCACGAGGCAGTGTTGCCCCGTGAGTAGGCGGAAACTCTCGCCGTGCACAAGTGTCCACCTAAGTATGCCCACTAGGCACCAAAGAAGTGCCAAAGACCCACCCTCGGCAAAGTGGGCCATAGAGTAACGAAATGGGCCTCGAACCGACCGTGTGACCCCACCAATGGATTCCTCGTTCGGAGAGCAATCCATAGGTGGGGTCACACGTTCGGTTCGAGTCCTGCTTAGCGACTCTGGAGCTCAAAACGCGTCGAGAGTTTTGGCCGCCTCCGCCGGTCTCTGCTCAGGCTGGCTCTGGATTTGCCACTGCTAAACCTTGCTGCCATGCCCCTCCGGCGGCGAGTCCTGGGCATCCTTGTTATGTCCGCTGGCTGCAGCCTTGCAGCCGCTACACGTCGCAACCCCTTGGCTTTGCGCGTTTTTTGCGCTTGTTAAACGCGAGTTTTAAAAACTTTTCCTCGGCACACTTTTTCCCTCTTTTTTCCGCTCATCGTGTTACGGTTTTAAAAAAAACGCACGTAATGAGTATTGCGCTTCACCGCGCGGTGCGCCCGGTCCTGAAAGTGCTCCTCAACAACAACCCGGAGGAAATTAATTTGCTTGTTTTTGTCTCGTCCTTGGCCTGGCGAGAGTTGCGCGCTGGTAACACAGTTGGGGTCTTATCTCGAAATGAAGTATCGAACGAGTATCGAATGCACGCTCTTGAGTGGCGCATCGCGGGCCGGAAGACCGGTGGGTGCGGTCAAAATCCTGGACGCATTTTGAGCTCCAGAGTCGCTTAATGGGCCTCGATCAGAACGTGCGACCCCGCCAATGGATTGCTGTAGGAACGAGGAATCCATTGGTGGGGTCACACGTTCGGTTTGAGTCCCGTTTAGCGACTCTGGAGCTCAAAACGCGTCTAGATGTCTGTCCGCCGTCACCGGCCTTCTGGCCCACTGTGCGGCGCGGCGGTGCGGCGAGGTGCGCGGTGCTCCGTTCCAGCTGCTCGCCCCTGGCCCTCTGGCTTTGTCTTGCTTGCCTTTGAAGCTGTTTGCCTGCACCAAGGAGAGCAGATAAGGCTCTGGGCGGCGCCGAGTTCCACACCTGGGTCTGCCCCGTCCAGACTCCGGGTCCAGCCAGCCGAGTGGAAGCCGGTCTCTGTCTTGATCACGGGGCTCGCCGTCAGGGTGCGAGAGAGACCGAGACCGATCTTCTGAATGGCTCGGCAGCGAAGCAGCGGGGCGGTTTGGGCCTCGCCGAGCCGCGGTGGACTTCCGGAGGGCAGCCGAGATTTCGACAAGGATGAGCTGCCGCCCCCGCGCTGCCCCCGCGCCGCCCCGGCCGCTGGGGAAAACCAGGAGGGATTCGGCGTGCTGAATTTTTCATGATGGGTGTTACATCAACGTGCGCGCGGACGGTCCTCGCAATAAGGCGGCATGAAAAGGTGGCCGGAGTCCGTTCTAATCGGAGGCGATGGTAGCCCGGCCGTCGCTGCAGCGAATTGATGGAAAGGTGGCGGGCTAGGCGGGCCGGTGGCGATGTGGCTCGATGTGGCCGGACCGCCCCGGCCTCACCCTTCTGGGCGCGCAACGCGCAACCCCAGTCTGTCCAAGTGGCACTTTGTCAGGGCGGGGCGGGGCCCGTGCCTCCACAATGAGGTGCGAGAGAGAACGCTCTCGCCCTCCTGGCCGCGCCAGGCCGCGCCAGGCCGCGCGCGGTGCGGCCGCTAACTTCAGCGGCCACGAGGAGAAATGTACTCGGGCACCCCGCCACGCTCCGCCACGCCACGCCCCGCCACGCCCCGCCCCGCCACGTCCCGCCTCGCCCTGCCACACCAGCCTGGCTGCGCAGGCATTTGCAGCTGCAGGTTCATTAATTAGAAACGGTCCTCACTCCGGGCCGTGAGCGGGTGTGGCGTGTTGCCCCCACCCCCTGTACCAATCTGCCCACAACAGCCCCCTCCCCCGTGTCACTCCGGCAAGAAAGCCATCATCGCCGAGCCACGCCACTTTGAACGGGGTATCGACGCGTGCGTCATAGAGATGCAAGTGCGGGGTATCGCTCATGGTCGCATAGCAATACGGTTGCCGCTCGTCCGATTGCTGCTGATTGCGGCGCTTAACCTGCGCGGCTGATTGCTGCGGTTGATTGGTTTGTGTCCAGCCAGGCGAGGCTTCGGTTGACTGCGGGCTGACGGTTGAGTCCTGCCTGGTTGTGGTGTTGTTTGATTGCGATTGATTGTTGATTGGCTGGCGCGGCGCTTGGCGTCTTTCTCTGCTCGAAGCGGCAGGCGGTGTGGCGAGCGAAAGGGCCGTACCCACAATGATAAATCATGAGTCCGAAGAGGGCCACGGCGCTTGAATAGGTGGGGGAGCGCTGGCAGACGTCACGGGGCTGGTCAAGGGAAGCCCGATGGAACGCGCGTTACTTCTCCCCGTCTTTGTTCTCTCTCTCCTCCCTTCTCACTGTCTGGACGTCAACGGCCTAGCAGTGTGTGTGTGTGTGTGTGTGTGTGTGTGTGTGTGTGTTTGTCGCACGACGTTCTGGCTTGCTCTTGCTTGCTCTCTTGCTGTGATAATTGCGTTTGTTGCTCGTCGGGGTCGGGAAAAGAATGTGTTCATCAGGGAGACTCTGTGTGTGTGCTGTTGCCGGCACCCGTTTAATGCGAATCGGCCGTTGTGGTCGCGGGAGTGTGTAGGAGAGGTCTGTCCGGCGTGCCAAGCACTGCGCCTAATGCAGCGCCATGCGGGTTGGAGCGAAGCAACTAACTTCGAAACAATCTAATGGCTCAGATTTTTGGAAACGGATTCAAGTGCGCCTTTTCGAGGTTGGTGGCCAAAGAAATAACACCGAAGTATTTTTTTAAATGGTGACTCTCTTGGTCTCTAGTCTTTGTCCCTTCTTTCCGTTCTAACGTTGACGTGAACCGTTCAATTTCAATTACCTTAACGCCGGTCGTTCCAGCGCGGCGTGAGTGCCTGGGCGGGGCGGGGCGGGGCGGGGCGGGGTGGGGGACACTCGGCTCGGTTCGAGTAGTACCGAGCGAGGTCGTCACCGCGTCGCCGCGTCGTCGCCAAGCCCGCCAAGGGATCCCATTCGCTTCGCGGAAAAACAATTAGGCTCAGCGGAGCGATTCAGGTGGGCGGGGCGGGGCAGGGCTGCAGGGAAATGGGAACGTCGCGACTTCGCCTCGGCGGGGACGCCTCGGCGGGGATGGCGGGATGGCGCGTTGGGCAGACGGACCGCTCAGCTCTTGCGACGGGCTACGCCGGCTTGGCGGCGGGGAAGACCGGGGAAGTCCGGGGAAGGCCGGGGAAGACGCGATGACGGGGGTGGAGGGACGAGGCCAGGACGAGGCGCGCCAGGACCAGCCCGACGGGGCACGGACGCCACGGACGGCACGGACGCCACGGAACGGTGAAGCAGACACGAATGGTGGTGGGGGCGGCGGGGGCGGCGGGGGCTGGTACGGCGCCTGGAGGCTGGGCTGGCTGGGCTGGCTGGCGGCGGGCAGGCCCCGGCTTGGCGCTCTCAGTGCCCGCACCGCCCCGGCCCAAGCAGGAGGTCCGGGAGGGCCGCGCAGCACAGCGCAGCACGGCGCAGCACGCTACCATGGCGACCGTGTGGACCGTGTGATGGGGCTGGGCCTTCGGCTCGGCCTGCGGCTCGGCCGCCCCGCGATGTCCGCCTGCCGCCCCCACCACCGCCACCGCCGGCGCCGCCGCCCCCGGCCGCTGCTGCTTCTGCTGCTGCTGGCGGTGCTGATGGCGGGGCCGGCGGCGGGCACCTCCAAGAAGCTGATCCGAATCGACGGCGACATCATCTTCGGCGGCATCTTCCCCATGCACGAGAGCGAGCACAACGGCAGCAGCAGCGGCTGCGGCGCCGTCAAGGAGGAGAAGGGCGTACAGCGGCTGGAGGCCATGCTGTACGCCCTGGACGCCATCAACAACGACCCCACCGTGCTGCCCAACGTCACGCTCGGCGCCGTCATCCTGGACTCGTGCTCGTCCGCGCCCTACGCGCTGGAGCAGTCCATGGAGTTCGTGCGCAACTTCATGAACCCCGTGAGTAGCGCCCTGGGCTAGGGCCGAGGCCAGCGCCCTGGCGTCCTTGGCCGCCAAGGCCTCAGGCATTTTCTCTCTCCGCTGGATCAGTTTTTGCGGGGGCGCTTGCGGCGGTCCTGGCAGGGAAATGGTTGTCATGGCGACCAGGCCGAGGCCGTCAATTGGCCAGGTGGCTGGAGTGACGCGGGCCGCGGCCTCTGCTTGCTGGAGGCCTGCTGGAGGCCTGCTGGAGGCCTGCTGGAGGCCTGCTGGAGGCTGTCCAGGATGAAAAGGTGGCACTCGGAGGCCGCGACGGCCTCTGTCTTCTCCGGCAGAGAGGCCTGGAGATGAACCAGAACGAGTCGGCTGAAAAAAGTAGACCAAAGGCTGCGACCACACCAGAAACAACGGGTTGGCCCGAGGGGGAAACCACTCGCGTAATAGTCGGGTCACCGATTCCTGGTATTACGCGTAATAGTAATAGCGTAATAGCCAAATATCTTAAAATTTCCCCTATTTAGGGTCCGATTTTAGCCTAAATCAGGATATTTTTGAGCGTAATAAGCCTTCTGTAATAGCGTAATAGAACGTAATAGGGAGTAGTCGGGTCACAGTTTTTAAGAGTGATTTCCCCCTCGGGTTGGCCGAGGTGTGCGATGGTAGGCAACCCTGAAGTCCTGAGAGGGGTACTGTGGGCTGGGTGGTGGCTGCGGCCGGCCGAGACTGGATGAAGGATGCCCTTTCCTTGGTGGCGAGCCGAGGCCGTCGGGAGACCGCGGGGGACCCCTGACCCGATCACGACCCACAGTAACTGGCAGCCGCGGCCTCTGCTTTGAATAAAAAGCCCCGCGATTGGGCTGCTTTTTGCTCCCCCTCGCGGTCCACGGTGCCCTCCGCGGTGCCGCCCGGCCTCGGTTTTGTCAGTGTGCCGAGGTGTAAGGCCTCTGACCCGTTCAGCGCGTTTTTGCGACTCCGTGTCGTCAAATACGATTCGATCAAACACGCAGAGGTGCCAACGGGTCCATCCATCCTCGCGATGTGTTTGATTCGGGGCCAATTTGAGAAGCCCCTCATCCAGATATGTCCACCTGAAGCGCCCTGCCAGCCTATTGGCCAGTGCGGATGGATTCTCTGGCGATCTAGTGTCTACCCGGAGGCACCGAGGGTCTACTTGGGTCTACAGCGTCGATTTCACGCGGCGGCCAATTTAAATTTGCCACCAACCGCGATGACGTGAACCAAATTAGTAGCCCGGGACGCGGCGACGCGGGTAGCACCGCCAAATTCTTTCCGGCTGAATGCGTCCGCTGCGAAGCGAGTCTCGAACCACGGCGCGCACGCCGTGATGGGGTGCACAAACAAGGAACTGATTGCTAGGCCGCACAGTGGGCCGGAAGACCGGTGGCGGCGGCCGAAACGTTCGACGCGTTTTGAGCTCCAGAGTCGCTAAATGGGAGTCGAACCGAACGTGTAACCCCACCAATGGACTGCTCTCCGAACGAGGAATCCATTGGTGGGATCACACGTTCGGTTCGAGGCCTGTTTAGCGACTCTGGAGCTCAAAACGCGTCCGGGGTTTCGTCCGCCCCCGCCGGTCTTCCGGCCCACTGTGCACCGCCTCGTGCGGCGCCGAGTCGCGCCTTGTCGCAAACCTTTGCGTGCGCGTGACGTACGCACTGAGGGACGCGGGGGAGTAGTAATAGGATTTGGTTACGGGAGAGCGTACGGTGGAAATTGGTTTCCAACGTACCCCATTTAGTCTGTCTCTTTTCCTCTTGGACTATGGACTTGGGGTGCTGGTCTTATCGACTTACGCGATATTGTACACGCGTACCGAGAGACTCGAAGCTGGTATCGACTTGAATTAAACCGGGTGCGCGAAGCTTGTTTTAGGGCCAGCGAAGTAAGTGCACTCCATCTCGAAAAACTCATCTTGCGCGAGGTTTCCTTCGTAAAAAAAAGTCAGTAATGAGAGGCTGGGGAGTCGTGGCGAGTGGAAGAAACCTCGAATGGTCGGAGAATAAAGCTGTGAATGGGGCCGCGGCCTCTGCCGAGATGGTGTCGATTTATCGAGAGATGCCTCGACGATGCCCCGACACTGTAAAGGATCATTATCCGGCGCGCCATCTGTCGGCTGCGTTTCCAGCGACTCGGCAAACATCTTCCCCGAGGCAAGTTTGGGCGCCGCTCGCACTCCGCAGGAATTAGCAACAAATTGATTGTGATCGCCCCGTTTTTTTCTACAGGGGCCTAGAACTCCATTTCGGTGAGCACGATGAGAACAGGCAACCGTTCCGTTTCGAAAAAAAGATGAGATTTCAGAAGCATAGGAGGAAATATGGTGTGTCGGTGACCGTGAAGGAAGACTAGTAAAGCACCCACTGGCTGTGATAAATGTCCGGTTTCCTCCAATTGTTTTTTCGCAGCTATACCTCCTTTTCAGCCCCAATGGAGGTGTGGTGCTTAATCAGGCCATGTCCATTCCTCATTATTAAGAGGGACACGACCTGCTAATGGCGGCCCGGGGGTTTGGGGGGGGGGGGTGACATGTGGGCGCGGAGGAGTAGCAGGACTAGGAAGAATAGGAAGTGCCGTTAGCAGGAATCGAATTAATGTAAAGCTAATTACTGGGGAGAGCAAGAGCAGGGTACAGCAAGGAGTGTGACAAAAAGACTGGAATCAGATTAGATACAGAAAGGTTAGGACTGAGGGTGGATGCAGGACGTCCAGAGTGAACGGAGCTGGAATACCTAATGGTTGATTCAGGACAGGGGCCCCCGAACGGCACCCCCGGAGCCCTCAATACCAAAAAGTGGGGCACGGTTCACGGGCGGGGTATGAAAAGAGTGAGGCGTGCCTGCTCTGCTTTGCGGGTCACTGGCTGCTGTGTCGAGGTACTGCACCATGTTTTGTTTTTCGCGTTCGCCGGGTGCCCTCCTGCCGATGGCGCTGCCGTGTACTGCGTCTGGTAGTTTCACCGCTCGTTTTCGCTTCTTCATTTTTTGTTTTTGTTTTGCAATCCTTTTCTTGATTAGTCACTTTAGTCCAGGCGTTGTTCCATTCACCGCCAATTTAACCACACGCTGTTCGCTTTCCATCTATGCAATGAGCATCTCTCTGTTCCTCTCTCTCACTCTCTCTCTCTCTGGTTCAGCGGGCGTCTCGATACGGCGGGGGGCAGAGAGGGGGGGGGGGCTGATCGCGCGCGGAATTCGGGTAATATGTGATGACGACGCCGGAATCGGGCTGAGGGCGGCCGAGGCGGGAGAGCCGCGCGTCCACTTTTCACGTAACATTGAGCTGCCTAACCTGCGAGCGTTATGGTCCCCACTCCGGGATGAGATAGAAGGGAGGGCACTGCTGGGTGCCGAAGCGGGTGGCAGGCCCGCCAAGTGGCAGGCCCAGTCATCTTCACCTCGAAAGGGGGAGTCTTCGTGTCCACGAGGAAGAGACTTCTTCTGAAAATTTTCGGAACAAACTTGAATTCTTATCACTCACATAAAATGAATGCGCGTGCATGGCCATGTCGGATTGGCGTTCGCGGTCCCCCCCCCCCCCCCGGCCCAACATACGGACAGTCCGGTGGCTCCACCGCGGCTCCGCGGGGGGACACCCGTAAATCGGGCCGAAGAAAGACTTCCCGCCATCATTATTTCTGTCACGACGATATCGTAAAGTTTTGCCAGTGCCCCCCCCCCTCTAAACGCAGAGTTCTTGCGTCTTGCCCCAGGGCGGCCAGGGTGGCCAGGGCCCCTCGAAATGCGTGTGACGGCCCGGGCAGACGGCCGGGAGTACCGGGGCGGGATGAGGAGGGGGGATGGGGGCGGGGTCCGGACGGAGGGAACGTAATCGGTGTGAAAGTTGCCCACCTTCCGACGCCCCCCCCTCCCCCCCCCCTTGCGGAGCGACCCCCCGGGTGTGAGAGAGAGATTCCGCCCAGATTTGAGGGCACGCAACAAAGATCCGGGGAACTTGGTCGCTGTACTTACGGCTCACATCGAGGGCCCCTCGCCCTCATTCGCTCAGACTAAGTGGGGCTTTGTCAGCCCGTGAGGAGTAAGGCTGTTTCGAGGCAGACATTCTCCGTGCCCGAGGGCAAACAAGCTCTCTAAACGGTTTCGAAGTGCACTGAAAAAATGGGTTTACTTTTAACGCTGTTTTTAACGGCTTCGGTCGTGTGCGACGTTGCGTGCTGCTGAGGCTTCGATGTCGCGGCTTCGGGGTCTTCGGCGAAGCTTCGCCAGAGCGGCGGGAAGCCCCACACTGATCGGCCCGGCGCTGGCGATGTGCGTGCTTGTTATCATTGGAAAGTGTGTTTCCAGCGTGTTTGTTGTTGTTGTTGTTGGACTACGATTCATCTGCGACAGTGGCGGCTGTGATTATTCCAGTGGCAACTTGTTTACTAGCTAAGCCCCCCTCCCCACCTCCTTCGGCGCCACCCCACCCCCGCCCCTCCTCCGCCACACAAGTGGGCAGGGCAAGAGGGCGGGGTGCCAACGGCGGCGGCGGAGTGTTGCTTTGTGACAATGTTTGCCGTCTTGGAGATGGACCCGGCCTCAGAGAGCCAACATGCATGTACACTGTGTGTGTGTGGTATTCTTCACGCCCGAGGTTGCGGCGGTGCGTCACGCTTCGCCTTCCGTCTCTCTCGCACTCGTAGCGCTCTCTGCTTGCTTACTTTCCAGGCGTTTAAGACTTTGATTTGGGAGGTGGGAGTCGTAGGTCACACCGCCGTCGTGAAGCGTCCCTCTAGCTCAGCAGGGGAAACGCGCGGGGCAGCCCCCGCTCACCCCCCCCCCCCCTCTCTCGCTCCCACTCTCACTCCCACACACTCCCACATGCGCATGTGACGTCGTGGACAAGCGAGTAATAAGTAAAGTTTGGCATCTGGTAGGCGGGCGCGCGGGCAGGCAGGTGCGCGCGCGGTCTTTCCCCGTCTCCTTCCCTCTCCCCCTCTCTCTTTCACTCCCCCCCCCCCTCGCTTGAACGCTGCATGGTGTGACATGTGCCTGCCAAACGGT